TATATATATATATATATATATATATATATATATATAAGGGAGGGAAGGGAAAAGGGATTTTGAATAGGACCGGACATGTTCGCTAAGCGTCAGTCATATCAGCATACACTTGCGAACAGATATATATAGATACTTTAAAATTATCGGCGACTCGTAACAAACGCGTACAGAATCAGAACTGGGCGCATAACAGAGTCGGAAAGCGGAAATACCCATCAAATCTGTTTCGAAATTGAAAAGTCCTGTGTGATAGTTGTAAACCTGCGTTTAGAAATTTTTGGATTCGCTGAGGATGCCGCAGCTGTCTTAAGTCAACTGTTTGTATATGTACAGTAAATTTCTTTTGCACTTTTATTTTTCCCGCCAAAAGCCTTTTTTCTGCTGACTAATTACTGTAATACTTTCAATATATATTTTAAAAGAATGGCCATCAGTCAGTAACTGTTCGTCGAGCAAGTACAGTTTTTTTGTGCTTATAAATAAGTTGAAATTGTAGTTTGTTGTTAAAACTCCATCCTTTAACAGTCCATACAAAATGTACAGGCGGATTCATTTGAAATTTGGTGTGAAAATTTTTGTGAGCAAAGAAGCCCTCTTCTGGAGGAACTTCAACGGTTTTGGCTCAATGCCACTGTATATTAAAAAGGCAGCCGAGTGCTATCCGACTTACTTCCGTAGAAGTGTCATTAAATTTTGTTCAGGTTGTGTGCATGACGTATTGTTGACGTCATTTTGTTAATGGATGTTCATTCTTTTTGTACTCCAAATTTCTCATTGTTTCGTCCACTTTCTGCCGAATGTTACTTTGTAACTTATTGACTGTTGTAATTTTGTTTGTATCCACAGAAATTTCTTTTTTTTTTTTGTTGTTTTAAGGGATTTTTATCGTAGATAATAAATGTCTAAGAAAATGGGGTTTGTCGAGCAGTAATGTAGAAAAAAAGCTTCAATGAAATAACTAAAAAACGCGATCTTTTAATAAGTGAAAAAGCTTAAAGAAAGTTGTTGTACGGGTAATTTTTGGGGAAGGAAAAGGAAGAAGAAGAAGATAAGGTAACACAGTTGTCATAAACGTTTTTCATATCCAAATTCTAATACAGAAATGACCTAATACTAACCAGTTTTCTAAAAATAATCTTATCTCTCGGGTGGAACTAGTTATCGTATTACTGCAGTAAGGTTGCATTATGAATATGTAATATACTGTATGTTGTATATCATATATTATATATTATATATAATGGGCCATTCCATGCCAAAAGTTGCAAACTTTGCCAGGTTGCCACTTGACATGCCTATCTTTGCAGACTCGTAGTTTAGGTCGTTTTAAATTGAATTTAATGTCATTTTGATCGTTAGCATGTCCTGAACTTTCAAGTGCATATTTATTCTTTTAATTCTGTCAAAAGATCGCATAAATATAATAAAAACTAAATTTCAAACAAGCAAAAAAAAAGACGAAGTTTTGAGTTTTTTAAAAGAGATATATTTTGTGCAAACTTTTTTGCTCTTTTTTTTTACTTCTTGACAGATTAAGAAAATGAATGTGCATTTAAAAGTTCAGGACATGATAACTCTAATGATCAAAAAAGCAATAAATTCAATTTGAACGGTCTAAATTACGAGTCTGCAAAGATAGGCATGTCAGTGGCAGCATGGCAAAG